AAAAATAGACATTTCAGATAAGAACAAAGAACATAGTACAAAAAAAACAAGAAATTTCATCAAATAATAAAAAACATGATTTAATAGATTAACCTATAGTATCGTATATTACTTATCCATTACTTATCGATTCGATTGTTGAACACGTTTTAATCGGTCTGATGATAAAACAGCTTTATCATCTGTCAGAAGCCAGCAGGCTGTCTGCTTATGCATATATTTCTTTTTTCCATCAATTTCAACACAAAAGTAAGAGCTTGATAATGAAGGTGAAACCGTATCTGTGACTCGCATTCCATGAAACTGACTTCTGCCACTTGCTGAAATAGAAGATAAATTATCTTCATCTTCAGATGAATTCTCCTCGTCTTTCAATAATAAGTTGGCGTCAATATCAGGATCATCATTGGGCTCATCATCAGATGAATAAGTTTCATATTCATCATACGAAACTATTTTAGATTTCTTTTCGAATTGACTTCGTGCAAACGAGCTCACTTGAGATATCGTCGCCTTTTTCTTTCCCTGTAAAGCAATATTCATTTCAAGTTCAGAAAGAGTGTCATATGCATCATTGAAAGCTTTATGAATAGTATTCTCAATAGTATCATATGATGGAAGATTTACAGCCTTACTAGGAGCTGAGTTTTTTTTGGCACTGGCTTTTCTTCCTCTTTTATGATGCTTCGGAAATTGTAGTGGACATTCCAATAGTCCAGATTCACTTTTGTTCTCTATATCTGTTAGAACAGAAAGCTTGCCAGCTCTTTTAAGAAACTGGTCAGTTGTAAAATTAACTACTGACGAGAAAACACCTGAAATAGATCTGGTGAGTCTGAAAGTAGCTTCGCATGGTTGTGAACTGTAATTTGATATTGATAGAGCCGAATCAGGTAATTTTTGTTGAGACACAAGAAGAAAAGCTGCAAGTAAACTATGTGCATTGAGTTCGATTGAGAAATGAGCTGGACTGGTTATGAATAGGTCTTTTTTATTATCAACACTATATCCTACAATGTATTTCTCATCGATCAATTGCAACCAAATCTGCCAGATACGACAGAGAAATACTGCAAACCAACCATGATAAATACGATCAACGATTGATGTATCATGCTCTATATATGCGATCACGACAGAACGTAAAAGCTGTAAATAAACTCGAGTAGCTCGAGAATTATTGATATCTTCTAGAGCACTGAGTACATCGTCACTTGAAAGTTTCAGGCACGAAGTGAAATTTTGTCGATCTTTCGGTTCTACATCTGTCTTAACAAGACCATGTACAAACTTTGATTTAGTTTCAAGTAATTCAATCAACACTTCAATAGAAACTTGTTCATTTCCAATTAGCATTTTTGCTTTTTTTGAGAGCATTCGATTTCGAAGTTTAGTACACAAGTGCGTTGGATCCTGAAAACAAAGAAAAAGCTGTCGAGTTTGCATGAAAAACCAAGACGACCAATTTTTCGGCAAATCGATTTCTAGTACATCGTTTCTATTGCATATCGGAATATTGACAAATTTTGCAAAGAAACCTGTAGCAAGACGCATCGCAAGTAGATATCTAGGATCACAATCAGTTGCAAATCCAATAATTCTAACATTCGACTGTTGAGATTTCTCAAATGTCCAAATCCATCGATTAAGAACATCAGTAGCTTTAAAATTATTATTAATGCCATATGCCGCCAAAAGGAATGGTGACGAATATGGGTTATACGCTACAAGCGGCTGAATCATATGGATATTAAGGTATTCCGTTCTATCTTTATTTTCAAACCAAGCTTTTAATTCATCAAATGAATTCGTTTGAAAAGATTGAGTAACAGGAATACCATTTACTAGTGGAATCGAGAACCCAGTGAATGTATTTGTAGCAGCATTATACGTGACTTTTTTAATAACTCTAGTACAATCTTCGGAACAAATAGCTATTGGATAGCCAACTGACTTTTGATGATCACTAAGCATATCGTATCGAAATACGCCTTCTTCAATCTGTGCACCAGCCTTCCCAAGACTATCTTCCAGAGTAGGTATAGCGGGGATAGCACCGGGCAGATTTATTCGAACGAATTCATAAACATTTCGTCCGCCTAAGATATATAATGACTGGGCAAAATGTTGCACTGCTTCACTATATCGATAGTTATTTTTGTTTCTCGTAAGATTCTTGAAAATATTTTCAATAAAATTTATGAGAAAAGAATAAGTATTTTTTGAATCATCATTTTCATTTAATTGAAAAGATTCTATTAGTTTTTGAAATGAAGAAAAGAAAACATCACTCAAACTAGCAGCTTGTTCCTGACTCTGATTGTTTACGGCATGAAGTGCTTGCATAAAACGATCAAAGTCCAAGCGTAGCCCCGGTTTAAGCATAATAGTGCCATCATTAAGATGAAGACAAGCTTTCTGTGTTATGTTTTCTAATTCTTTATATTTCTTTTCAAATATAGAAAGAATATCGTTTTCAACCAAAAGTAATTTATACACAGTATTGATCGAAAGTACTTCCATCAATTCTTTGACAACTTCTCCACATGTTTGATTAACTAGGTCGAAAAACTTTTCTCCTTCAAGTGCAAGAACACTGTCAGGTAGAACAAGTGGTGGAAAATTTCGTAACATTTTATAGGCAAACCTTAGAAAATAAAACAATAATTTTATGTAGTTTCCTTTTTATCAATAGAAACTTGTTCAATTCGAATGTGAGTTATTGAAAAATAGTGAATTTAAGCAATGTAATCAGTATATATAAATATATATGTATATGTGTATGTATATGAGGATATAGATATATGTATATGACTATATAGATATATGTATAAGTATCTGTATATGACTATATATGTATATGACTATATATGTATATGACTATATATGTATAGGTATATGACTATTAGATATATGTATAATGAATATATATGTATATGTATCTGTATATGACTATATATGTATATGACTATATATGTATATGTATATGTATATGACTATATAGATATATGTATATGTATTTATATATGTGCATATATATATATAGAGAGAGAGAGAAGAGTAATTGAATTTGTAGCGTGACAAGAGAAAGAAACATGTGTTTATATTCGAGCATTTGTTTTGGTTCAATGATTTAAGGCTTTTTTTCTTTCTTAATCGTTAGACCGTTGGAAGTTCGTTAACACCTTGGAAGCCGTTAGATCAACAACATTCAATACCAGG